AAAAATCTCCTCAATCCTAACAAGTCGTCTGGCTAGATGCCGACCCAACCGACTCCGTGGATGCACTCGGCTCCTCCTCCGGGTCCTCCTCAGGAGCGCCAGGAACATCAGGGACTACAGGCACTTGACCCTCTTCGGCCAAGTCCTGAATCATATCCTCCACTAGTGCCTCGCACTCAGTCAGGATATGGCCGGTCCGGTCCCAAATATCCTCAACCACTCGCATAAGGCGTCCAGTAGCCGCCTGAGCCTGCTCGAGAAAGGCATCAGTCCGCTGCTGCTCCTCCAAAATTAAGGTCTCCAGCTCTCGGATCCGGGGTCCCTGAACTCGGAGAGCAGCCTGGAGACGCTCTATCTCCAACTGGCACCTACGATTGGCGCTACCCAATCGTCTCCGCTCATCGTCCACTGCGAGCACTACCTGATCGGGGTGGGAGTAGGTCTTCCAGCAATCGCAACGACGAATCTTGTGCCCTGGGGACCACCGCTGCACTGGCCCATCGGGGCTCTCCTGGTACGTGATCACGCGACAAACGGGCCTCTCCAGATATGGCTCGTCAGTAGGAGTGTCAGTAGGTACGGGCTGAGACGGCCAGCACCACCAGAAGCGTCAGCACCCACCATCACCTATGTTTGCAAATAACGGTGCAAAAGTAAGTACATGAGGCGTAGAAAACAAGGCTAAAGGCTAAGCTCAAGAATAAAACCCTAGCCTATCGTATCAAGCACTCAATCTATCCAGATCAATTCACCCCTAGGCTCTGATACCACCTGTGACGACCTCACCTCCCCCCAAGGCGTACCAAAGGGTTCAGCGAGTGGCCCGCCCAACTCTCGCCAGGACTCACTCACTCGTATCACGTGCATACATCCATCGACAATAAATAACATCGCAATTCACACTTACAATTTACATCGATGCATATTCAAAATACAAAGCCTTTATATACCCCAAACGAGTTCAGAGTGTATACAATCCAAGTACAATCATCCTAATCGAGTGATAGCGCGAGTACAAGTCAAAAGTCAAAAACAATTAGGCTACGCTAGTCTTTACATATCTCACGCCTCGCTCGTACCCCTGTAAGAAAAACAAAACTAACGGAGTGAGCCAAAGCTCAGTGACATTCCAAATATCAAATTGGACATCAGATAAAGTAATAACAGCGTGATAGTGAAATAGCGAGCAAACAAGTCGAATCAGAGAAATAACGCTTCAGATAGTCAAGAAATATCTGGTTCACATTCACATGTAAGGATACAGTGGCTCATATCTCGGCTCCATCACAGCTCGATCGATTGGTAGTTGACACTCCGTCAACTTTCAAGTAATGAACTAGTCCAGAAAAACCCCACTTCACGCCAGTCTCCGTCCATCGATCAACCCCCTTACCGGGCCCGCACGCCACACAAAATACGGGTGGTATTACTCGAGTATACCGATTAGCCGAGGAGATAATACTCCACTCGACATCACTAATTACCCAGGGTTCGTTATCCAATCGACTTGGCCCTTGCCGGCTCGACTCGATTAACTAGCCACAGGGTTTCTGGAGTTCCAGGCAAGATATAATTCACACGCATGTAGAGCAAGACAATTGAATTCGATGAACAAGAACAAATCTCGTTAGGGCAAGTGCGATAAAGTACACCCTTGCCCTATCAAATCACTTATATATATCATGTAATCACATTGGTCAAAGATAAATCACAAATATCAAGTTCAATCAGATATTTGGAAGCACTCACCAAAAGTAGTGCCTCTAGTGATCGCGTCTGGGTTGTACTCCGGGTTTCGAGTCGAAATCTGCGATAAAACTCGACTTAAGAACTTTGAAAATCGACTAAGGTTCGAAACATAGACGTTTCGTTCAATAAGAATCAAGAAATTGAAATTCACTTGAAGAGTAGTCGTGAAACACTTGCTCGCTTTTTAAACTACAAAACTTTGTAACATTTATACTTGGAAATGCTATTTGAGTCGAAAGTACAAGGAAAATATAGTCCGAGCAGTCATTATTTTATTTCTCAAGGGTACAAGTTCGGCCAAGTCCTTACTTATATACCTCGGTAAAAGAAGACGCAAATATCCTAGATGGCTCAAGCAGTAGTCACTCTTAACCCTTACTCAAGTTGCAAATATGTCTACCTAGCCCTCGAGCGTAAATTTGGGCAGCACGCCCTTTGTATTTTCCTATTTCCAGCCATTTATGGATTCATTCTATTCCTCAATCAAACCTAAAGTTACACAAAAAACAAACTCATTTCAATAGCCATTCAATAGGCTCAAGGTAATACAAGTACAAAAATCAAGCTAACGACATGTGCGGAAATGAAGTTTAGCAAAAGACAGATTTGACGTGGTTTTAGGTAATGGACACAGCTGAGGCTACGCTTATCAGATTGAGGTGTAACTTATACCGTTTCGAAGCTAAGACAAAGGGCTACAATTTTGATGAAGATCACTTAGTCCAATTTCTAGTGTAACCCGGTCAAATTCCCAATTCACAGAGCCAAACTCCTACTGGTAGACCAGTTAACTGTACAACCTTAAAATGGCCATATCTCAAGCTACCAAAGTCCGTTTGAGACGTTCTTGGAGGCGTTGAAAACCTAAGATAAATTACTAAAACTTTCATGTTTTGGTTAAAAGCTAGTTCAGTACGTATCCAGGTGAACAAACGCAACCAACTTAGTGTACTGTCAAAACTGTCCGTTGATTTTACTCCTAGGGCAGTCAGGGTATTTTCATCTTTTCACTGGCTACGTTGCTCCGATTGAGTTGAACTTTTGTAGGACACCATAAAATGTCATTCTATACAACTTTCATGTTTTGTGCTAAGGCTAATTCGGCTTCTAAGATGATGAAATGGAATCAGGCAGAACTGAAGCTACAATTTCCAGAAATCTGGAATTTTGCTATATTCAGGCTATAATTCACATTTTTACCTTGAAACTACCACTACCATCTCCTTTACAAGATTATATACCAGATGTATACATCATACAACACCTAACCCACAAGAAACCCTAACTCAAAAGTCATCCATATAATCATCAAAATCACTTGGAACAAGCATCACAAGCACAATACTAACATTAATACCCAACTTAATCATGATTAATGGAGAAAGAAAGGTTGATCAGCCATTATACCTCAAGAAAAGAGCTTGCAAGAATGATCCTTCACCTCTCCTTGAAATTTTTGGTTCCTTAAGCTTCCCAAGCTTCCAAACTAGTGATTAATCGGTTTAGTTTTTCTTGTTTGCACTCAAAAGGTTGGATTCAAGGTAGAAGATTGAAAACTCTCCTCACTCTTTTGCCTCTCCTTGCTCTCAGCCAAAACAGAAAGAAAAAATGAGGGAAATGAGCTGAAATGAGAGATAAGAAGGCAAGACAAAAGGGTTGGTCAAGGGACCATAGATGACCAACACTTGTCACCACCAAAACCATCCAAATTTTACTTTCTTTTCCTTGCATTTTGGCCCACATATTTCGGCTATATGGCTGAGGATGAGGGATATATTTTTAAAAAATATCAAGGGTATATGGTGGTAGGGAAGTGGTGGTCAAGTGGTGGGTTCAATCGGTAATGATCGATACCCGTCGGTTCGAGCCGTTTTTTCTTAAATCACGTATACTAGGGTTTTTACCTTCTAATCACTAACTTATTATTATCACTTCAAATCATATAATATTTTCTCATCCAAAAGTCACTCTTACCTACCAAATTTGATCCTCACTCCGTACCGAATAGTCACACTACGGAAAAACGTGAAAACCCTAATTCGCTCTAACTTGAAAACAAACAACGAAACCCTTACTTCTATATTCATTTACACTTATTATTGGGTGATTGTGTAGTAGGGCCATAATAAATGAATAATTCCCAAATAAAAGGGCATTTTTAAGAAAAATATAAGGAATTTGCAAGTCTTCACAATTAAGAATTATGAAAGTGCTTTTCTTTTTCTGGTGTCTTTATGCTGCTTTCGAGCTTCTTAATGCCTTTTTCTTTCACTTTGATTCCAATGCATGATGGGCGGAAGCCTATGATGATTTTCTGTGGCAGGAAAATTGAAACTATGGGATGTTAGTAAATTGGAACTGAAATCTATTCACTCTTTAAGGAGGTAACATGGGTTGGGTGGTGAATGCTATTCAGAACACGAGGACAGTCAGTTGTATTTGTGGTCATAAATGATTTATACAGGTTTTCCTAGTAAGAATTTCATATTTGTGGCAAAAGTATTTTAAAACTATTATTGGCAATATGTTCTCATATAACAGAATTCTATCCAACTAAATTCCAGGTCGTGTATTTTCTTTTTTTAAATTCTTTGATCTTACATGCAAAACCGTTCTTTAATATGTGTTTTTTTTTGGGTTGTGGGTTAGGTCCTTAATATGTGTTTTTATTGTAGATTTAAGCATCTTATTTTATGACGTGTCCTTTAGGTGTCAGATGCACGTCTCAGATTTTACAACAAATTAAGTGTCTTCTGCACACATGCTTTAGAGTTCACAGTGTGTCGGACTACCTGGGGTTGGGGTTGTAAGGAACTTTTTGACCTGTGGATGCTCATTTATCGTACTTATTTTAACTAACAGCTGGTTTTAAGAGTATTCCTTCCTTGATAATTTCATTGAAATTGGACCTGTCATTTTTGACATTCATTAACAATTATTTCCAGTGCCATATAATTTCTTCCACATCAATGGCTACAGAATGTAAGATCTCTTTTTGAATTGTTGATAGCTTCTGAACAATCTCTTATCCTTTCATGGATCTTTGAAGCACTGGTATAATTTACATCTTCAGTCGCCTCAATCCTGATATCTTCTTTTTTGAACCTCTGAACTGAAGAAAATTAGCTTCAAGACTTCAGTTGTTTTTTACTGCCTATTAGAGAGAGTTTCATTGGATTAAGATGTTATGTTGTGCCCTTTTGGCTTTTTTTAGTCTTGTGGAAGACTAATTTTGGTCTGTATCTTTATAGGATGGCAAGGTATCACAACTTGAGCATGTTTTCATTCAAGGCAGCAAAGTCAGGTACAAAAACTGTAATATAAAATATTTTCTGATTCTCTCAACTGCTTTCTGAGTTCTGATTACGGGTAAAACAAATTTTTATCAGGTTTATGGTGATTCCAGATATGCTTAAGAATGCTCCAATGTTCAAACGTCTAGAAGCTAGAATCAAGGTGCTTTCCCAGTTTGCCCATGTGTATTAGAGTGTATTTGTGACCATCACAGCTTTGCTTACACTTTTGATATTATCTTTTGAAGGGCAAGGGTTCAACACTTGGCGTTAGACGGGGACGTGCTGTTGCCATGAGAGCCAGGGTAAGATCTATTTCGTGACTTTTGCATCTTATGCTCCTAGATCATTTATTTAAATCTAAAAGTTAGGAATGACACTCCATATCTGCACTGTAAGCTCTAAAATGCATTATGATCTCTTGTCAAGAAAAAAGCAATGTTGGATGGCCACTATAGAACTAGGATTTAACAAATACTATAAAACAAAGAGAATGTAGTTTTACGGAGTATGTAAAATGATTAGCTTGGAGAAATATATGGGGTTACAAATTAAGTTTTGTGGGGTGAAGTTTGCCTGACTGTGCCATCCGTGTATGCAGGCTCAGGCTGCTGGTCGTGGAGCTCCACTTGGCAGGGGCGTTGTGCCACCTATAAGGAGGTGATCATTCCAGAATATGATTGTAATCTTAAGAGCGTCAAAGCTCGTATATTATGCAAGGGAGATCATCAAATCCATGTTATGCAGCCCAATTTGGTATAGGATAATATTTGGCCTTTGAGACCTTAAAAATTATGTTTTTCATACTAGTGATCATAAAATGTCGCTGATGAGGTTGAGTAGCATGACGTAGGGCATGGTGAATAGTGATATTCATCATGTAAAATGAATTCTCAGCATATATACTCTATCTTACGCTCTAACCAACCGAAATTCCAGAAAACTTTAATTTGATCCAAAAGTCATTAAGTGACACAGCTAATTATTGGTTGGCATTCTGCACTTAGGATGGTCATAATCATCTTTACTCGTGCAATGATACAAGCCTCATGCTATCACTAAGATTGCATAGAACAAACTGAAGAGGACATCCTGTTCAAGTATGACATGGAATTATCCAATTAAAACCATCTCAAATAATTCTATTAGTTTAAAATGACTATGCCAATTAGTTTCCACATTGCTTAAGCAGTACAAATCAACAAAAGTTCGTCTAATTGAAGAGGCAATACCCACAACTAAAGAGCTCAAGAAAAGCATGCACATTATCATGGAATTATCGACTAATACCATTCCAGAAAAATAATGAGAAAAAACAATTGCTAAGAACGTAAGTTCAGTCGAAGTAGTATTTTTTCATGGATGAAGATTATATTGGTATTACTATCATACTAATTCTGGTAATCTTTTTGAAACACAATGGCAATGGAGCTACTTTTCCAATATTTTCTTGCTCCTAATCCATGTAAAAATCAATAAATTCTAATACATATTCCGGTGAGCTCGATGTCCTCAATCAGAATCCAAAATACTCGATCCTTAAAATGCAGAAACAAATAAGTAATTGCTGATACAATTCCATATATCTGTTTGACAAACAAATTTTTTTTTTTGTTGGGGGGGGGGGAAGGCAGAGACTTATCTCAAAAAAGAACCAAAATTACCAGCCTCCACTAACACATAAGCATCTTTATAACAAATTTAAGAGCTAGAATCACAGACAAAATTAATGAAAAACACCTTAAAATAAAAGTTAAAAAAAATTGAATGGTTAAATTACATAAGCACAACACTTGAAATAAATGGAAGAAAGTAAATTAGAAAGAAAAACTAAATCAAAATTAAAACAAAAGGGGATAAATACCGAGGTCTCCTCTGTGCTTAGCAGAGCTGTAATCGGAGTAACAAGCGGGAATGTCCTCGAACTTAGCCTTGCCGGAGATGATGTCTTGGCGGAGAGCTATGAGCTGAGAAACGGCAGCGTCGCGAGTGGTGTTACTGATGATTTGGCTTCTGGATCTTTCCAGAAAGCATTGCGCCGGGATCCTTTGTGATACCTCGATATTTAGGCTAATGTTTTGTTTAGCCTCAAAGAGGATATTACGGCTATTTTATTTTTGGTTTTAAGACATTATTTTGTTTTAAAGACTAGAAACCCTCCTTGTACTCAAAATCCTAGTTTTACTTGTGACTAACAAATTTTTCTTAAATCCCTCAGATTTTACTCAAAACCCTAATTTTAGTCTATGGAGTTGTAAAATCCCTCACAATTTTCTTAAAATCCCCTTTTATTTGAAATCCATTACCTTATAATAGCTATACTACTCATTTACATCCCCAAGGGTTAGAATAAACAATATAATTAAGAGTTTTCCCTTTTCATTCATCGTTAGTGTAAACTAAGGTTTTTACGTCTTTTCGTAGTATGATTATTCGGTACGGAGTGTGCATTAAATTTGGTGATTAAGAATGAGTTTTAGATAAGAAAAAGTGTGTGATTAGAAGTAATAACCATAAGATAGTAAATTATAAGTGAAAAACCCTAGTACGTGCGAAATAAGAAAAAAATCGGGTTGAACCGATGTGTACCGTTCATTACCGATTGAGTGCACCACTTGACCACTACTTTATTACCTTAATCTCCTTGTTATTAATTGATCAAAATCAGACCTAAATATCTTCTTAAGGCAGCCGAAATTGTGGACTAAAACCAAGAGAGAAAAGAAAAAAATTGACTTCCAATCACAAGGTGACACTTGTCCAACTTTGACCAAATTAAAATCCTATCATCTTAACCTTCTTGAAGCTTCATTTTAGCCTCCATTTCTGCACATCAGAACCATGACTTAGAGAGGAGAAAAGGAGAGAAAGAAACCAAGTGAGCAACCACCAAGTTTCACCTTGAATCACCTTCATTTGAGCAAAATCACTGAATCCAAACCGATTAAACCTTCATTTGAGTGCTTAGGTAGTTGTGTGTGGTAAAAGTTTGGGAAGAAAGTGTTTGGTTTCACACCTACAAGGGAGTTTTTGGCAGGTACATGGCTGTCTTCTCCTTATCTCTTACTTAAATTTGGTTAAGGTTGGGTAACAATGCATATTTGTGCCAAATGATAGCTATTTTAGTGGTTTGGATGGATATGGTGCATGTTCTTGAGTTAGGGTTGAGTTGGTTAACTGTATTTGCTGTTTTTTAGGTGGCATATGGTGTATATAATCTTGTATAGGAGGTTGAGGTAGTGGTTCAAGCTAGAAATATGAAGTTTGCACCTTAAATTCATTGAATTCCAGAATTAGAACTCTTCGCTGCTTGGTTCTGCCCGGTTCTATTTCACCATGTTAGAGGCCGAATTAGGCTTAGCACAAAACATGAAAGTTGTAGAGAATGATATTTTATAGTTTTCTGTAAAGTTTCAGCTCAATCCGAGTACTGTATCATGTGAAAATATAAAAATACCCCTGACTGCCATAGGTAGAACGTTAGGGACAGTTTTGACATTTCACCAATCTGACCGCATCTGTTCACCCTGATCCATACTGAATTACCATTTGGCCAAAATACAGAAGTTTTAGTTTTATGTCTTAGCTTTTCAACACCCCTGAAAACACCTTAATCGGACTTCGGTAGCTTGAGTTATTGTCGTTTATGCATAGTGCAGTTAACTAGCCCAAATGTGAGATTCTGGTTCTGTAATTTGAAATTTTGACCTGGACACACCACGAACTGGACTGAGTGGTCTTCATCAAAGTTGTAGGCCTTTATCTTAGCTTCGAAACGGTATAAATTTCACCCCAATCCAATAAGTGTACCTTCGGTTGTGCCCGTTACGCTAAGTGACGGCAAATCTGTCTTTTGTTTTATGACTCAAACTTCATTTCCGCACATGTTCCTAGCTTGATTTTATACTTGTATGACTTTGAGCCTATGGAATGGCTATTGAAATGAGATGATTTTGTGTGTGACTTTGGGATTGATTGAGGAAAAGAATGAAGCCATAAATGGCTAGAAAATAGGTAAATACAAAGGGCGTGCTACCCAAATTTACGCTCGAGGACTAGGTAGACCTACTTGGGCCTCGAGTAAGGCTTGAGAGCGAATACCACGTGAACCATCTAGGATATTTGCGTCTTCTGTTATCGAGGTATATAAGTTAGAACTTGGCCGAGCTTGTACCCTTGAGAAAATGGAAATAACGACTACTTGAAATATGTTTTCCTCGTTCTTTCGACTCCAATGGAAACTCTAAAGTTTTAACCGCTTCCTTATCGAAACTAAACGAGCGAGCATGAATTTTTTGGGATTTGATAAGTATCTTGAATACTACTTACATGAGTTGCATTTACTTGATTTTCTTGAAGCGAAACTCCTAAGTTTCGAACTCTAGAGAGTTTTACACTAGTAAATGATATTTTATCGCAGATTTGGACTCCAACCAAGGAGTTGGACCGGAACATGATTTTTGAGAGGCACTAGACTTTTGGTGAGTGCTTCCAAATACCTGATTGAACTGGACACTTGTTTTCAATACTTGACCAATGTGATTTAATGATATGTAATTTGTTGATCGGGCAAGAGTATACTTTATCGCACTTGCCCTAATATGATATATACTTGTTTATTGTTGCAATTGATTTGATATACTTGTACTTGAGTTGTTAGTGCGGAGCGGCAGTATGTACCACACTCAATCCGAGTGGGAGGTGCCTCTCATTCCCGTCTCCGTACTTTTATCTTGATTCAGTCGATTGGAGCGTTATCTCATCGACTTTCCTGGGGACCCAAACCCCACTGGCTAGTTAATCGAGTCGAGCCGGCAAGGGCTTGGTCGATTAGATAACGAACCATGGGTAGTTAGTGATGTCGAGTGGAGTGTTATCTCCTCGACTAATCGGTGTACTCGAGTATTACCATCAATCTTTATTGAGGATTTTGGGCCTAGTAGGGGGTGTCAATGGTGGACGGAGAGTAGTGTAAGTGGTGCTCTAATGGATTGGTTACTTACTTGAAGGTTGACGGAGTGTCAACTATTACTTGATCAAGCTCTGGTGATGCAATGGGAATTTGGCTTCTGAGAGCCATCCGTATCCTTATACTTTGGAATGATTATTTTTTATTGGATTATTGTTTCGTTTTAAAAGAAAAAAAACTTTACACTCGCTCATTTTGCGATTTGCTGCTTGAAGTATTATTGCCCACTTTTGTGAACTTTTCATGCTCATTACTTTGCTATATTGACACTTGTACTTGTAAACAATGGTCGATTTGCTATTTCGAACCTCACTGGGTTTTTAGCTCATTCCACGTCATTTGTTTTCCTTACAGGGGGTACGAGCATGGCGTGAGATGTGTACAGACTAGCATAGACTAGATGTTTTGACTTTTGACTTGTACTCGCGCTATCACTCGATTAGAATGACTTGTACTTGGCTTGTATGTCCTTTGAAATATTTTGGGTGTATAGCAGTTTTGTATCTTGATTTGTGGATCGATGTATATTTTAAGTTGAATTGCGATGTTATTTTTTTTTTCTTTTTCCCTTTGGATGAATGCGTGAGGTACGAGTGAGTGAGTCCTGGCGAGAACTGGGCAGGCGGTCCGCCGAACCCTGTGGTACGCCTTAGGGGGAGGTGGGGTCGTCACATCCTTCGTGCTTTATCAATATGTGGGAAGCCCTAACGCTATTTGCGGAAGATGAGGACGAGGACATTATCGTCTTCTTCTTGTGCTTTTCTGACCGATCCGTTGATGGATTTGGAGCCGAATTCTTCTTCCTCTTCCGACCTGACTCTATTTTTGCTGCTTTTATTGGTTAAATTTTTATTCTGCGAAGAGCAACGGAATGGAGTAAGTGGGAATTAACAACTGAGCTTGAGTTTGACTGACCTTAATAAGTACCCGAGTGATGTCTTGCGCTTCACCAGTGGCAGCTCCAACTCGAAGTGCAAGATCAAATACTCCTACTACTCAAATCAAATAATATTAAACCAAAGGCTAATTGCTTAAAATATAGGCATAAAAAAAAACATCCGTCAAATATAGCTTTGACACACTATATTTTTCAAACTATACCTACCGTGCTGAGTCAGCACGGCAGTAGAATAAATTCTCTGACCTCTGTAAAAGTTTCAATACAGTCAGCAGTGCAATTTTTTTTTTTATCAGCCTGTCCCCTACCGTGCTGACTGGGCACGGCTGGGGATAGGCGATCAACAAAAAAAAAGGCCAGGGGCCTTTCTCAGCCATTCTTAGGCGCCTGACAAAGGTCATGTGACGTGCAGAAATTATTGCACCGCTACCGTGGGAGCATAACTTGACATCTACCGTGGAAGCTAATAGACTTAGGATCTAGTTTAGCACAATCTAATTATTTAGTAGGGAAGATATTCACTATTTGAAACAATTGCATTATCACTAGGAGCGAGATTTGGAATTCAATTATAACTAGTGCTCATGCACATCCAATGTGTGTGCAATCAAAAAATATATAATATTTATGATCATATATTTTAAATAATTGTTTTATTATCAAAACACATTTTAATCTTTTAAATATTTTTCATAAAATAATTTTATATTAGTAGTTATGATATTTATGGGTAGTTATGTTGAAAAGATATACTTAAATAGTTAAAAGTAAAAATAGTCATGGGTAGTTATAGATAGTTAAAATAAAAGTAGCTTTTATCATGGCAAAAAGAAAAGTTCATTTTTTTATAGGCAAAAAAGTTATACCCCATTTATAATTAAACAAATGATCAAATTAATATTCATTTTTGCATTTAAACAAGCAATATCTAACTTGATACCATATTCATTTTTGTCAATTTATATTTATTTTTGTCGCTAAAAAAAAGTAAAAGTTGACATTTTTGTATAAAACAATTATTGCATATGAGTCATGTAATAATTTAGACTAAAAAGTGGTTGAAACTTAGGTTGGGGCCAAAAATTGTGAATTTGAATTTGTAAGATATATAAAGTTAATATTTTAAAAGTAAAAGATGAAAAAATTCGTTTAACGAAATGTGAAAGATATTTTAAACGATTTTTCTTAAAAATATTTATTATTCATTATGCAAGAAATGAATCTTTTCCAATTATAAATATTTCTTGTAATAATAATTAACAAGAACCCAATTTCATAACCATAAACCAGTTGGTACCAACATGGCATGTCAAGCTTGGGATCGTAATTATGAAAACTCGACTAGTATGTTAAGCACTTTTTCAGTAATAACAAAACTCAGGTTTTGATGCAAGAAAGTCATTAATTCACTCAGGATTTCCGGGCACCATCCATCATCAAGGCCATGTTTGTTAAGCCAACCCTACAGCCATAGCTGGTTGCCTTATTCAATTGGGTCCCAATTGAGTTAATGCTTCATCTGCCCACGGTGGAGAGTTCACTCTACTTTCCACACTAGAAGCAACCAAACTTTAAAAACCAAACCCCTAGCCTTTTTTTTTTTCCCGAAGTCAGCCGACAGCTGCTGCAAGGGGGTCAGAAGTGTCAGCCCCAGCCGTGCTGACTGTGCACGGCTGCGGCCGACATCCGCGTCAGGGAGCCGTGCACAGTCAGTACGGCTAGGACTGAGACCCCTACTGAATTTTATGCTGTCAGACTGTGGATGGAAAATTATTTTTGGTCAGCACGGCAGGTGTAGATGAGAAATAAAGTGTGTCAGAGCTTCATTTGGCGGATTTTTTTTTTATACGAATATTCTAAGAAATTAGCCTAAACGAAATTGGTCACTCGCGGCCTTTGGGCTACGTGTGTGCCTGCGCCCTCTGGTGTACATGGGCTTTTTCAACTAGCCCGTTACACTGCCCAAATGCTTTTATTTTTATTCCTTTTTTTTTTGGTGGGAAGAGTTGGAAAACAAAAAATGTCGAAGAGCATGCAATGCAACAAGTAAAAACTGATTTTTTGTCATTAAATTTGTCCTACTAATTACTACAATTAGAATTTCAGCAACAGCACCTTTTATTTTTCATTTACTTTTCAGCTTTCTAAAATTAAGTATTTTCTTCGTTACTGTTGTTTTCTAAATAATCTTCAATACAAGTGAAAATGCTTTAATCTGACTATGAGATATTAAAAAATAATAATAATTGATGGTACTCAAAAGAAAAGGATAAAATTTTATTATTTTTGCACGTCCACATTATTAATGGCCTAGTGCCAGTAGCCAGCAGGGTACCCGTAACAGTGTGTATCCACGACAGAAAAATTATAATATCCTTAAACGAATTAACTAATTAGACTATAATATCCTTTACAAAGCAGATAAAATATTGTACCAAAAAACAAAAAATCAGTCGCTCCAATTTTGAGGAAAAATGTCGTGAAATCCAAAGTTGTCATAATGCTCAATCTTTCTCAAGGAATCGTTAGATCTTCCAAGGAATAACTAAATTAGTGGTATAATTTAACAAAAAAAATGTCGCAGGCGGCTGAACGAAATTGAATAAATTTTCCCCCGAAAATATATGCCTCCCAGGATCTTTAAGTTCACCACCAAAAAATATTTCTTCCTAAACTTCTCTGAGGATGGGCCAAGCTTTTCTTAGGATGTCATTGATCTTTGCATGAATACGTTTTTGCAATCTTGGCGGACAAAGCTCTGCTGCATAACCATTTAATTTGGCTGCCAGACTTGATTTTTCCAGCTCTTCTTCAAGCAAGTTTCCCATTAGTTGAAGAAGAAATGGATTCCGTTTCAGCTCAAATTTCTGAAGATCACAAGTCAAAATTTTCATTAATGTTCCTTTCATTCTTATAAGTGCAAAATGTGCCCAGCAAGAATATAGCAGAAGCCAGGAATAAGATAAAGGTTTTAACTTCTAAAGAAAACTAAGCAGAGGTCATCCTTCTGCACTCGTAAATTCTGCTGGACCACCTCTTTCAGAATCTACAAGTGGCTACAGTGACTCCCTCCTATCCGTTCTGAATAGGAGCAAAACAAAGGAAAAACCTGTACTTGTAACACCAATTTTGCTTTTTTGTGATTTATACAAGTTGATGAAAGATACTAACCTGATGATCAGGCTCTGCAGGATAGAATGTTCCCAATTGCTGAATTTGAGTGGTTACAATGTCACTCTTTGACCTTGTCTGCTCTCTTTCTTTACTTGCAGAAGCCAATCTTGACTCTTCAGTTCCATTTGTGAAAACAATGGATCTGCTTGGAAAGTTTCAACTTTCAACTTTCAACTTTCAACTAAGAAAGCCAGCATTTTGACATAGAAAATACAACTTCAATCCAGGTTATCAACAATACCTGTGCTGGTTACCCACATCAGGACCTTGCCCAAACACCTGCCTAGAATCGTAGCTGGTCCAGAAGACCTCCAAAAGTTGTTTAAAAGTAATTCCCTTAGGATCATATTCAATCTGCACAGAATCGATTTCAATATAGAAAACAAGTGTAGAAATAATTGAATGTCTACTAAAGAGCATATTTTGGTAGTTGGTAATTGCAACAGTATCTGACTTGGGAGTACAGTTCCATTTTTCTGTATAGTGAGACTATCATGTTATGTCAAAGTGTTCATAAACTTTCATATTGCTAAACTTTTAATTTGGATGTCCTTTATGCTATTGAAGCTATCATAGATTAGATTAGGCAAATGGTTTTCCAGCTTTCGGCTAATTCAGGTCACAAGCAAAACTCTTGGCAGGATAAACATTACATTAGCTCCACAGAAGACTACAATAATGATCTGTTTCAAGGGCTCAAAACAGCTAACTATGTCAAGAACCCAAATCAAATGAGTGATGACTGTTATTCTTGGTTTTGATGATCACAAAAGTTCGTTTATACTGACCAAGATTGATCAGGCCTGATGGAACAAGAAAAGCATATGTTTGATTGACTCCAGTCTACGATGCTTTGGATGTGGCAAACAAGATTGAAATAATATAAATGAATTTAGTCATCGTTTTGTTCCGATCAAAGATACTGTTTTTTAAGTATGTCTAGTTTGTCATTCTTGGTACTTTGAAATGTTTATCTAACCTCCTTCAAATACAAGTGTTTTTGTCTATCCAAGAATCAGGTTCAAATATGTCATGAAATGCAAGACAACCAAAATGAGAAGCAAAAACAGGACAATCAGGTCGGACGGCCGAAAGGGAAACTGTCGGACGTCCGGAAGGATCGAACGCACACCTCGGACGCATATCAACCAGATCGGACGTCCGAAAAATTCCAAGATAACTTGCTAGCTCTCGGCCTACGATCGGACGCTGTGCTGTCGGACGACAAAAATCTCATCGGACGTCCGAACTTCAACTTGGCTATTTTCGGACGATTGGTTCGGACGATGATTTGATCGTCGGACGTCCGAAAGCTCCAACGGCTAGCTGACCCTTCATCTGCCTTCTATCCGTTGGAAGCTTTAATGAAGCTCATTTCTGTTCCCTTTTAAAAACAAACTGTTCTGAACGAAGGGAGGACTTTTGCACACTTTGTTTACAAGATCTCAAGAGATATTTTAGCTAGAAAATAGTCTCCAAAGCAAGATTTGTTTTAAAGTGGTGTGAATTTCTGGTGAGCATTTCTTTTGTGATTGAAAGGATCTTTAGTGTAGCTTTGTTGAGAGTTTTCTGAGTGATTGTAAAACTTCTTAGCTTGACTAAGTGAGGCTTAGGGCAAGGAGGAAGTGCTCCCTCCATTGTACATCTAGTTGATCGTCTTCCATCAAAGAGAAGTTGCTCTTCCTAGTGTGTGGTCTTCAAGTTTGAGGATAGCTTGGTAGACACTTGGTTTGATTCCCCAATTTACTTTTCTGTTTATTAAAATTCTCATTGCTTGTCTATACTTGTGTTTCTGATCAATATTGCTCTTGTCTTCTAATCTACTTGGTTGATCATTACTAGAAAAGAAGGAAATTTTCATTTAGCAAAAATTGCCTAAATCTGATTAAGATTTTGAACAACCCAATTCACCCCCCCTCTTGGTTGTCTTTGGGACTTACAATTGGTATCAGAGCTTGGTCTCCTTGAGATTAAGCTCTAACGGCTTGGAGTAAAGATGACAACCAGTCATGCTATGTTTGTTGAGGGGCAATCTGTTACTAGGCCTCCCATGTTCAGTGGCTCCAACTATGTTAGCTGGAAAGAACGGATGATTATTTTTTTGCAATCTATTGATATTGAACTGTGGTTTATTGTGAGTGAAGGACCGCATGAAGCTAACTTTCTTGATGCAGATACAGGGCTGCTTCGGCCAAAAATGAGAGCTGAAATGAATGCTCAAGACAGGACTAACCTCACATTGAATGCCAAGGCCATGAATGTTCTTTATAGTGCCTTAGATTCAAATGAATCAATTAGAGTGAAAGGCTGTAAATCAGCCAAAGAAATGTGGGATAAGTTAAGAGAAATCCATGAGGGTGGTGACAATGTGAGAGAACAGAGAAAGGCCATCTTGGTCACAAAGTATGAATCTTTTAAGATTGAACCTCTTGAGGATATTGACAAAATGTTTTGCAGGTTCACTGACTTGATCAAAGATCTCGAGGTGTTGGGCAAAGAGTACACCTTGGGAGAGAAAAACAGAAAAATTCTCAATGCATTGGGCAAAGAATGGGAAAATAAAGTGACTGCAATAGAGGAGGCTAAGGATTTAAGTTCTATGCCTATTGAATCTATCATTAACTCACTAACCTCTTATGAGTTAAAACTGAAATCTAAAGTGCAGGAGGAAGAGGATGCTAGAGCAAAAAGAAATATTGCTCTAAAGACTACTCAAAGTGAAGATGATCCAGCTCACTTGGATGATGAAGATTCGGATGGTGATGATAATGATCTTGCTCTCATCACAAGAGGCTTCAAAAGAATCTTGAATAAAAGGAAGTTCAGAAAGGGAGGACCTAGCAATCAATTCCAAAATTATTCATCAAATGCAAGGAACAAAGGAAAACAAGAATTCAACAAGAAGCAAGTGGACAAATGCTATGAATGTGGACAGCCTGGACACTATGCAAACGAATGCCCCATGAAGAAAATGAAAGATGGAAAAGCTGATCGAAAGCCAAGATTCAACAACTTCCAGATTACTTGGAATGAATGCAACTCTGAAGGGGAAGTTGAAGAAGAGGAAGAATCAGCTCAAATGGCCTTCATGGCTATTGGAGATAATGAGGAAAAATGCTCACACAAGTCCAAATGGTTCATTGATAGCGGTTGTTCAAGGCATATGACCGGTGATCCCTCTTTGTTCATAAAGCTGAAATCAAGATCAAGTGGAAAAGTGACATTTGGTGATGATGTGAAAGCTAAAACAATTGGAATAGGTGATGTTGGTAAGGATGGTGAAACTTTTGTTCATAATGTGCTCTTAGTTGATAACTTGAGTTATAATTTGCTTAGTGTTAGTCAATTGTGTGATAAAGACTTGAATGTGTTGTTTAGAAAGCATGAATGCATTGTGCTTGATTCCAAATACAATGTTGTGTTCAAAGGTAAGAGGTTCAACGACATATATATTGTGGTTCTTGATAAAATTGATTCTTCTAGCTTAACATGTCTTAAAGCTTCAAATGAAGATCCTTGGTTGTGGCATAGAAGACTTTGTCATTTTAACATGGAGTTACTAAAGGAAATTTCGAAAAAGGAGCTAGTTAGAGGCTTGCCAAAAATCAGTTTTGAAAAGGATAAAATATGTGATGCATGTCAATTTGGAAAGCAAACAAAAGTTTCTTTTAAACCAAAGAAGTGTGTATCTACTTCCAAACCTTTAGAACTCTTGCAACTTGACTTATTTGGCCCTACTCAAATCTCTAGCTTGGGTGGTAAGAAATACTGTTTTGTGATTGTAGATGATTATTCTAGATACACTTGGGTAATATTTCTTGCTCATAAGGATGATGCATTCAAGAATTTCACTTCATTGTTTGCTAAAGTGCAAAATCTGCTTGGATTAAAAATTGTTAGAATTAGAAGTGATAATGGAACAGAATTCAAGTATTGTGGTTTTCCAGAATTTTGTGATCATAATGGCATAACTCATGAGTTTTCTATTGCAAGAACTCCACAGCAAAATGGTGTTGTAGAAAGGAAAAACAGGACTCTCCAAGAGGCTGCTAGAACTATGTTAAATGAATGTAGGTTGCCTAAATATCTTTGGGCTGAAGCGGTAAACACTGCATGTTATGTGATGAATAGAATTCTCTTGAGACCTATCTTAAAGAAAACTCCTTATGGGCTGATTTTTGATAAGAAACCTACAGTTGGTTATTTCAAAGTATTTGGTTGTAAATGTTTTATTTTGAATCTAAAGGAACATCTTGGTAAGTTTGATAAAAAATCTGATGAAGGAATATTTTTGGGGTATTGTGAGAATAAAAGAGGATATAGAGTTTTTAATAGAAGGACTCTTGTGATTGAAGAAGCTATACATATAACATTTGATGAAACCAATGATGATAATTCCAAAAGTCCGTGTGAGGATGATGATGTAGGTGTTCGAGCAGGAATGGAAAAGCTGTCAATTGGAAATGAAGGAAGTTCTAAACCAGCAACAACTGAAATGGAAAATGAAGTTCATAATGATCAAGAAGAGGAAGATGAAGACAAAAATGATGATCCACTCAAAGATCTTCCCAAGGCTTGGAAATTCAGCCAAAATCATCCAAAAGAGCTTATAATTGGTGATCCATCCGAGAAGGTAAACACTCGTTCCTCATCTAGAAAAGTGATTGACAATTTTTCTTTAGTGTCTCTTTTTGAACCCAAAAATGTCAATGATGCTTTAAAGGATGAAAACTGGATTTTGGCAATGCAAGAGGAACTTAATCAATTTGAGAGGAATGAAGTTTGGACACTTGTTGATAGACCTCAAAATCAACCTATCATTGGCACAAAGTGGATTTTTAGAAATAAGTTAGATGATAAAGGTGTTGTTGTAAGAAATAAAGCCAGATTAGTTGCTAAAGGATATGCACAAGAAGAAGGAATTGATTTTGATGAAACATTTGCTCCCGTAGCAAGATTAGAATCTATTAGAATGCTTCTTGCTTTTGCATGCTTTAAAGGCTTCAAATTGTTTCAAATGGATGTTAAAAGTGCCTTTTTAAATGGTTTTATTGATCAAGAAATATATGTGGATCAACCCCCCGGTTTTGAAAATACAAAATTTCCAAGTCATGTGTTTAAACTATCTAAAGCTTTATATGGTCTAAAACAAGCTCCAAGAGCTTGGTATGAAAGACTAAGTGGTTTTTTTTATTGAAAATGGTTTCAAAAGGGGTGTTGTGGACACCACACTTTTTACTAAGCTAGTGTTGAATGACCTTCTTATTGTGCAAATATATGTTGATGATATTATTTTTGGTGCTACTAATGAGTATCTATGCAAGGATTTTTCCACCACTATGCAAAGTGAATTTGAAATGAGTATGATGGGAGAATTAAATTTCTTCCTTGGACTTCAAATACATCAAGCTCTTGAGGGAATTTTTATAAATCAAGCAAAATATACCAAGGAGTTGCTGAAAAGGTTTGGCATGGAGGACTCAAAGCAAGTTGGAACTCCAATGTGCACTTCTACAAAGCTTGACAAAGATGAAGAAGGTAATCATGTGGATGAAAAGCAATATAGAGGTATGATCGGAAGCCTACTCTATTTAACCGCAAGTAGACCTGATATTATGTTTGCTGTTTGCTTGTGTGCTAGATTTCAATCTTGTCCAAAAGAATCACATTTGAATGCTGTAAAAAGAATTTTTAGGTATTTGAAAGGTACATTAGACTATGGTCTTTGGTATGCTAGATCTAATGAGTTTGCACTATACGGTTATTCGGATGCTGATTTTGGAGGTTGTCGTGTGGATAGAAAGAGTACTAGTGGAACTTGTCATTTTCTTGGAAATTGTTTAGTCTCTTGGTTTAGCAAAAAGCAAAATGCAATATCTTTGTCTACAACCGAAGCGGAATATATTGCCGCTAGTGCATGTTGTGCTCAACTTTTATGGATGAAGCACACTTTGAATGATTTTGGATTGTTGTATGACTGCATGCCTGTATTCTGTGATAATACTAGTGCTATAAATTTGACCAAAAATCCTATTCATCATTCTAGGACAAAGCACATAGATATAAAGCATCACTTTATTCGTGATCTTGTTCAAAAAGGTGACATATGTGTAAATTATGTTTGTTCTAAAGATCAATTTGCTGATATTTTTACCAAAGCTCTGCCATTAGATCAGTTCATTCATCTAAGATCAAAATTAGGAATAATCGAAAAATCATCCTAAAATTTCTCAAAGTCTTCGGACGTCCGAAAGAAGATGAACGGACGTCCGATGATGTTCTTCAGCCATTTTCCAGAATTGCGCCTGTTCGGACGCAACTGTCGGACGCACAACTTCGTTCGGCCGTCCGACAGTGCAACGGCTCACTTTTTAAATTAACTTTCTCCCTCATTTGCTTCAAACTCTTCTTTTCTATTTCCTCTCGGACGAAAACCCTCTCATTTCTCACTCTCAAATTCATACCATTCTGAAGCTCTCATTCCCAAATTGACTCAAACAAAACTTTTCCTGATTGATTGCGATTCATTTCTCCTAATTATTTCATCGAATCGCAAAACATTTCGTAAATTCCCAAATTTCCCTCAAAACCCTACTTTCTCATAACCGCTCTGTCAAATCTTGTTCAAGGACTTTGTGTCCCAAAATTTCTGTGCGATTCACTTCCCTACTGCTGTGTGCATCATTTGCATCCCTCATTCCACACATTTCGCACAATGGTGAATCTAAGGGGAGGAAAAGTTACTGCCGGACGCAAGCATCCACTCAGGGATGAGGATGAGAGTCTTCCCACTGTCAAACGGACATCCAAACGCTTCAAAAGAGGAGCTATCAAGGGTCAAATGTCACGGCCTACACCACAACCCTCCTCTCAGCCTGAATCTGGACAGGGGACATCTTCTCAACCGCCTCCAAAATCAGCCCCTCCTCCTACATTCTTTGATGATGCTGCGAAAGACAAATACTCCTGGATATCCCAGAAGGGTGTCATCCCTCAAAGAACTGTAAACCCCTCTGAATTTCGCTCCATAGGTTTAGAATCCATTCTGAGTCTATTTGCTTTCCAGAAATGGTCACATCTTATTTCTATGCCAAATGTCTACTATCCTGATATGTTGCATCAATTTTTTGCCAATCTAAGGAAAGGTTCTGACCAAACTGAAATATTTTCCAGGGTTAATGGGGTAGACTTAATCTTTGACTCTGAAATTGTGAACTCCATTTTAAATACTACCATTGAACGTTTATGCAAAGATAAGATTGCTAATTTCTTTTCCTATGAAGAGCTCCCGACTGTGGCAAATCATTTTGATGGGACAAAAATGTTAACCTATTTCAAAAGAAGTTTTTCCTCACCTGCTGATGCTAAATTGAATGATCTGGCCCCTGTGAATTTAATTGCTTTTTCTATCATTTCAAACCTGCTTGTGCCTACTGATGGCCATAGAACTGATGCAAACAAAATGGAGTTGTACCTCTTTTATTGTTTTCAAGAAAAAATTCGTATTGATTTTGGTTTTGTCATGTGCAAGTTCTTACTTCGCTATGCCACTGATTCTCGCAGAAAATTATCTTATGGAAAGTTTCTTCAAAAGATTTTTGAGTTTTACAAAGTCCCTATTCTAGGTGTTTGTCCTAAAGAAGCATCTTCTTATGCCTTTACAAAAGGGTATTTTGAAAGGAAAAATCTTGTTTTCAAAGATAATCTGTGGGCTTATAAGGGTGCATCTTCTAGTGAACTTAGGTCTAAGGCTGCACATGATCCTTCATCTATTCCACTCACTCCCATTCATCCTAGGAAATCTGCCTCTAAGGCATCTTCCTCTTCCAGTGATGAAGTAATTGAGCTCCTTCGTGAACTCAAACAGCATGTTCTTCTTCTAGAACATGGTCTAATGCTCACTATGTCCTCTGAGCAACAAACTGCCTTCCTAGACAAAAAGAACCTCCTGTTTTCCCCCCCTGTTGTTGAGGAAGTTTCCCATGACAAAGAGTCACACCCCACTGATCCAAGTTCATCAATTCCGGATCCTGGTTCTTCAACCCCTGTGACTCCTCATGGCACCTCTACATCAGATAAAGGCAAGGTACCAGTTGAAGAGGCTGCTGAAGATGATGAAGAAACTGAAGAGGAGGATCTTGATCAATATCAGCTCTCTCGGAGGACACCTGGATCCACTTAGTTCATCATTTAGGACATTTGCATTTTGTTTGTCTCTTTTATGTTTTCGTGGTATTCAACAATGAATATGTAATGTAATGGATATTTTAAGTTTCGTTTTGGATGTTTAAGTACTGTTTTGATGGATGTCTGAATATTTTGATGAATGATTGTCTATTCTGCTTATGTGAATATAATGAATTTGTGGATTGTCTATTCTGATTGATGGTCTAAGTTTTGATGTGTGAACTTGTCTAAATTTGTGAATTTGTGGATATGTTGATGTGATTGGTTGCCCGTTTGTGATGACAAAAAGGGGGAGATATGGTATCAAATGATTGGATTGAGTGATGATTGATAATTGGTGATGTTGGCATGATTGATGATTGGTGATGTTAGGATATGTTGGATTGATTGTTTAAATTTGGATTGGCTGATATGCTTAATTGTTTAACTCGGATGGGCAGCCTTGTGAGGGGGAGTTTTTCAAAATTTTCAAATTTTGTGATTCACTAAGACAGGGGGAGTTCTTGTCTATTTTGAAAGGGGGAGTTTTCATTGCTATCATAAAATTTCATTTCAAACTTTTGTTTTGTCATCATCAAAAAGGGGGAGAATGTTATTCTTGGTTTTGATGATCACAAAAGTTCGTTTATACTGACCAAGATTGATCAGGCCTGATGGAACAAGGAAAGCATATGTTTGATTGACTCCAGTCTACGATGCTTTGGATGTGGCAAACAAGATTGAAATAATATAAATGAATTTAGTCATTGTTTTGTTCCGATCAAAGATACTGTTTTTTAAGTATGTCTAGTTTGTCATTCTTGGTACTTTGAAATGTTTATCTAACCTCCTTCAAATACAAGTTTTTTTGTCTATCCAAGAATCAGGTTCAAATATGTCATGAAATGCAAGACAACCAAAATGAGAAGCAAAAACAGGACAATCAGGTCGGACGGCCGAAAGGAAACTGTCGGACGTCCGGAAGGATCGGACGCACACATCGGACGCATATCAACCAGATCGGACGTCCGAAAAATTCCAAGATAACTTGCTAGCTCTCGGCCTACGATCGGACGCTGTGCTGTCGGACAACAAAAATCTCATCGGACGTCCGAACTTCAACTTGGCTATTTTCGGACGATTGGTTCGGACGATGATTTGATCGTCGGACGTCCGAAAGCCCCAACGGCTAGCTGACCCTTCATCTGCCTTCTATCCGTTGGAAGCTTTAATGAAGCTCATTTCTGTTCCCCTTTAAAAACAAACTGTTCTGAACGAAGGGAGGACTTTTGCACACTTTGTTTACAAGATCTCAAGAGATATTTTAGCTAGAAAATAGTCTCCAAAGCAAGATTTGTTTTAAAGTGGTGTGAATTTCTGGTGAGCATTTCTTTTGTGATTGAAAGGATCTTTAGTGTAGCTTTGTTGAGGGTTTTCTGAGTGATTGTAAAATTTCTTACCTTGACTAAGTGAGGCTTAGGGCAAGGAGGAAGTGCTCCCTCCATTGTACATCTAGTTGATCGTCTTCCATCAAAGAGAAGTTGCTCTTCCTAGTGTGTGGTCTTCAAGTTTGAGGATAGCTTGGTAGACACTTGGTTTGATTCCCCAATTTACTTTTCTGTTTAATAAAATTCTCATTGCTTGTCTATACTTGTGTTTCTGATCAATATTGCTCTTGTTTTCTAATCTACTTGGTTGATCATTACTAGAAAAGAAGGAAATTTTCATTTAGCAAAAATTGCCTAAATCTGATTAAGATTTTGAACAACCCAATTCACCCCCCCTCTTGGTTGTCTTTGGGACTTACAACGACTTCATAACAAATTAAACTGCAACAATAGGTTTGTTACAAGCATTTAGTTCACAAAATGAAGTACCACTCTTCCACTCTCACTCAGTGCTGGTGGACAACTAAAGAAATCCAGCTGAAAGGTAACCAATGCAAAGTTGATGGGATGACTGAAACCTATTGTTGCAAGTCCATTAGCAATAACCTCATGCACGGTCATGTTACAGAATCTCCAAGGCCTTTTCTAAGCAAACAGAACGATGACAGTCAAAAACTAAGTTGCATAGAATGGCTAAAAACAATTCAAGATCTTTACACTTGTATCCCCCATATCCCGCAAAGCATAGGAAATACTTCCTAGTTTTTCTTGATTAAGACTCATTGGCAATAAAAGAAGTTGACTAATTCTCCATGATCTGCCTAGAGTAACGATAGTTCATAGGAACAATCAATATTCACCATTTTCCTCTCCCAACTAATTTTGTTAATCACAAAAAAAGAACATCCCCAGTACTTATCTTCAATCAATCAACATTAGAGCCTTCTCAGGCACAACAACCGAGTATGAGAATTAGCAATAAACAACTATAAAACAAAATCTTGACAAGTCCTCAAATTTCAAACAAGATCTAATTGTCCAATCTTTTACCAATTAGCAAAACCAAAAGACTTAAACCAGTAATAAAATGTAAATCAATAGGCTGCAGAAAGAAGGAACGTAGGAGGTGACCTAAACAGATTCAGCGTGATCACCTAAGCTCCGATACTCGGGATTGGCTTTCGATCCACCGGCATAGCCAACAGTCGTACGCACAACCCCATCCAAGCAGCCAAACACCGCCTCCGATCTCCAGAAGCTTCCTAGAGCAAAAATCGCTGTTGGCAGCTGCTGTTGATTGGTTGTGTCTATAATTGAAGTCTCCGATATCCGGGCGGAGAATCTGATGCCCACACATAAATCTGCTGCCAATACAATGATTACGGGTAAATAGCACGTAAGGTGCATGGCCACCTTCATTGGGCTCGGAGTTGAATGATGCTGACTGCCAGAATGATCCGGTCAGGCCTCTGGAATTTCATTATAATGTTCGACAAAGTCGAGCCCGGTTTCTCCAAAATTCGTCTGGCTGTGATCCAGTCAATTCGATTCGAATCCGCATGTCCATTATAAATATATTATCTCATATTATCTCATTATAAATATATTATCAAATAGCTCCGTTTGAATTAGCTGTTTTTGGGATATTTTGAAAAACTTTACTGTAGCAGTGTCTATGAAAAATTTTTACTATAAATTTTTTTTGAAGTATTTGATATATTGTATGGATGAGATGCTTTTTGAATTATTGTATATTACTGTAGCATTGTATTTGAAAAACTTGTTTTTGAAAAACATGTCAATCCAAACGATATATTTCTCCAGTTAATGCACGAATAATTCATGGTTTTCCAGTAGTATATGTGAGAACTCAAACCAACCCATATGAATAGATAAAGATATGTATTTTAGGTGTTACACCATTCGTTAAAACTGTAACAGCCCCACCTCCCCCTAAGGCGAACCAAAGGGTTCGGCAGACTGCCTGCCCAGCTCTCGCCGGGACTCAGTCGTTCACCACTACAATCCTCAAATGAATTACAATATAAATCTCAAATATGGCATCAAATTCTCCAATAATTACATATCATTAGCGAAGCGGAAACAATTCCCAACTATACATAAAATGATTCCAAATCCAAACTGTACAACATAACGGCCATCCAATCACGCGCACAAGTACTACAAGCCTTCCTTCGCTTTGAGCCCTGTGGAGGGGAATAAAACATTTTTGGGGTGAGCTAGAAGCTCAGCGAGTAACCAGAAAATCAGTAATCAAATCAGTTTAACAATATTTCTTTTCAATGATGTCATAAATCAAATGATAAGTCCAGAAACAATTACAACATTTACAAAACATTAAATATGAAGTATCAATAATTCAAGAAACATGTACAATGGAAAGCGATAGTAACATTCGTGAAAAGGATACGTTCGTTCTCCTGTCATTTCATTGCATTTGGTTTCATTCGTGCATTCATTCACCCCGTCCCTGGCTTTTGGCCAGGCTCCACCAACCTACAAGGTAATACTCGAGTATACCGAAACGTTCACCCAAGTCCCTAATCGCCCGACCGAGTTCGTTTCTGGCTCGAGACGACCGGTAACAAGGGGCAATGGCCAGTTCAGCCCAAAAGGCTTACATTCATGCGCAAGTAGCATTTAATCATTTATCATGAAAATTTCACATTGATTTAGGTCGAGTGCGATAAAATACACACTCGCCTAGAAAGCTCGTTTTGGAAATCATTCAAAGCACGTAACACGTTATCAATCAATAATACGAGTCATGAAGTCAAGGAAATATATCAAACAAGGAACACTTTCATATAAGCACGCATGATATGCAAGAAAACAGTTCAAAAGTAGCTTTGGAAACAGTTCAAAAGTAAATAATGTAAGAAACATTTCACAAGTACTTTGGAAATAGTTTATGGTCACTCACCTCCACGGCTCTGAAACCATCCATCATGTATCATTGCCTTGCTCAAATCCAAGTCTTAAATCACAAACTCAATGCAAATAAATTCCTTCAAAAGTTCGGACAACACTTCCCCTGAATTTGCTTACTTTTCCAGCCGTCACGGCTTCATTATTTCCTCATTCCAACCCAAAGGTACACACACAACAACAAGTTCATCCAATAGCCATTCAGCAAGCTCCAAGAAGTACAAAGACAAGTCAAGCTAGGGAAAAGTCCGGAAATGAAAGTTAAGCTCAAAACCAGAAAAACAGTTTTGACGTCATTTTGCGGTAATGGTATCAAAGGCGCTACGATTGTCGGATGAAGGTGTAAGACACACTGTTTCGAAGCTAAGAGATAGGGCTACAATATTACAGAAGGTCACTCAACCCAGTTTCGAGTGTAACCAGGTCAAAAATGCAAGATACCATACCAGAATCACAAAAACAGATTCACAGAACGCATTCTAGCGGAACATCATAACTCAGGCTCTCCAAGTCCAAATCCAGAAATTCCAAAACCAACTGAAAGATAAGAAACAGGGATAAATTCCATCAGAAGACCTCAACAACCAATTCGGAAGCAATTCCAGCCAAAACAACCAATTACAGGCGCAGTTCTCAATTTCGGGTAAAACCAGAACAGCAATAGTAATTTTGACTTATCTCATTCTACACTACTCCGATTGATCTGAAATTTTGTAGGCACCTTTAAAATGTCATTCCCTACAACTTTCATGTTTTGAGCTAAGGTCAATTCGGCCTCTATATAGGACCTAAAAATTCGGACAGAATGCTCCCTTAAGAACCCTAGGTTTTTCAATTTTCTTCCAAAACAGAAATTGGTTGCAATTAATCACTTTTCCCACCTCCTTAAGTCATTATAGACCATTTCCAATCATCATAGATAGCCACACAATCATGCTTATATTAAAACAGAAAAATCCCCAAAAATAATAAAACTTCATCATTCAACCAAAACTCAAGATATAATCCATAAATTTGCATCTCATACAACCACTAAGCATGATTTAAGCATCAATTAAGGGAGGAGGGTGGTTCTTCACAACTTACCTTGAACACAAGAGAGAGAGAGCTATTGGTCACCTTAACTTTCCAAACAACTCCACCAAACAACTCACAAACACTAAGTGAAGAGGTTTTATGGAGTAAAACTAAAATTAAACGGTTAAAAGTGAAGATTAAGCAAGCTTGGAGCAAAGAAATTGGAGAGCTTTTCTTCCCTTATTGCTTGAAGGTGGTCGGCCATATGAAGCTTAGAAATGAAGATATTTTGGGTCATTTTTGGTTATTTAAGTCAATGGTAAGAAAGGTCTTAAGGTAAGCCCAATCAAATGGTGACACTTGTCACCTTTAGGTTTAAAACTTATCTTTTTGTCTCTCCAATACAAATATCTTAACACTTTGTAAAATAATATCACTTAATACAAAAATCCAACAAGTTGTCAAAAATATAATGCATTTACCGCACTAGCGGGTCCCACGTCCAAAATACGCTCTTAATTTCGCAAAAACTAACCGATACTAGAAAAATCATTTTAAAACTATCTTTGCTCATAAACTTTATCTGGGGAATTTTTCTAATAAAGAAAATGTAGAAAAGGCGGGCGATTAAATAAAATAAACACTAGAAAATTAGAAAATTTCCGGGTTCTCACACTCATTCTTTTCGGGGCGTCACAAAAACTATTTTTTTTTCTTGATTTGCCTTACTTTGAAATTTAGTAGTCTGTGGATGACTTTGCTTTCTTTGTTTTTGGAAATGAATGTGAGTTGCACTTGTATAACCAAGTTTATTTTGATAAGTTAGTGGGGTAAATTATAGAGATAAGGAAATTAAAGGGGCTAGGTATCAATAATTTCATAGTTGGGAGATTTTTTGATTAAGAAGTAATCCTAGCAAGACAAGTGTTGCACATCCCTTAAGTCTTGACCAAGACATTAGCTAGTGTATATCTTATAACTTGGTCTCTTGAAGAGTTGAAGAGAAAGGGAGGGGGCCGTGGATAAGGAGAGAAAAAAAAAGAGGGAAAGCTTCATTGTTTTCATCTTGAGTTGTAGCAAAGAACTTGGAGGAATCAATAGGGGAAAGCCATAGCACTTCAATCTTTCACTAAAACTTGAACAAGGAGGTGGTTTGCTCCAAGAAGAACCAAGTTTTTCTTGCTTCTAAGTTCCACCTTTGGTCAAGAGGTAAAACTAGAAACTCAAGCTTTCTTTTATGAACTTGAAGGGCCTTTGATTATTGATGTGATTAGAAGACTAAAGACATGATTTTTATGAAGTTCTATGGACTTGAAGTTGGGTTACCTTGGCTGAAATTGAGGGATTCATTTGTTCACGTAACTAGTTGTTTGATTCGTAAGTAATACTTGTTAATTGATGGACCTCTTGTACAAGGGGAGAAGTATGGTTAAATTTTAGATGATTCATGACTAATCTTTCTATTTTGGTTGATGATTGATTGCTGAAATTTAGGGCTTCATTGATACGAGTGATTGAATGGTTAGTTTGCAAGTTCGAATTGCAGCAGGTACCTTGGAACAGTTTCGGGAGAATAGTCATAACTTGGTGTAGGAAGGTCGGAATTGAGTTCCGTTTGTTGCGTTGGAAACTAGATTCATGAGGATAGAAACCGTGAAAATTACAAACTTTGGTTCTATTTGTGTGAATTATGGTAAATTTCCAAAATTTGCTGATTTTCGAGACTGTTCTACTTTAATTTTATAGCTGCTGGACTGTATAGCTAAAATTTGACTTGGTTGTGATCCGAAGCTCTTAAAGTGACCCTCTAAACATATGTAGATCTTTGAATGTAGTTTTTTGTGTCAAAATTTGGTGAATTTTGGACCAATGTAACCCCTGTTTCAAATTTTGTCAAGAATGTTGCCGGTGTGAAGGGTTTGGGTAAGTTTCTTTAACAGTTTAATTCTGCCCTGTTTTGTGACTAAAACTGAGCTGCGAATTGCTCCATGTTGTAGATCGAAACAGCTTTTGTCATCATTGTAGCCTAAGTTACGGCCACAATCCTAGTGTTCACGCAAAGCCTTATTTCTGGTCATGATTTTACGGAAGCCTCTGACCATGACTATTTGACCCTGAAAACGTGAGAACTAGGTGTTGATGTCTTCATAAGAAATGTATCCCTATGTCTTAGCTTCGAAACGGCATAAAATTTGCCTGAATCCGAGATGCGTAGCCACAGTAGTGCTCAAAACACTGTAGGGTGTCGAAACTGCCATTGTTTTTACGTCTTAATTACCTTTCTTTTACTCCCGTTTCCTTGGTCTGACTTTGCATGTACCTTATAAGTATCATAACCCTGGTTTCTTATGACGTAACTAAGTTTTCAAAACATGATTTCTAGTTGCACCTATTGACTTTCAAATAGTGACAAAAAAAAAACAAAAACTGGAAAACTAGTTACGCTATATTAT